CCACCAAGATGCCTATCCAGCCTTCTCTTAAAGCCCCCCAAGGTAGGGGAGAGCACCACTTCCCTTGGAAGCCTATGCCAAATTTTGGCCACCCTTACCCTGAAGAAGTTCTTCCTAATGTCTAGCCTAAATCTGCTGTCAGTTTGTGACCATTGTTCCTTGTTACCCCAAAAGGTTACCCGAAAGATGAACAGAGCATCTTCGGTTCCTTGCTGCACCCCCCTAATGAATTTGTAGGCGGCCACAGGATCCCCTCTCAGCCTTCTCTTGCGGAGGCTGAAGAGGTCCAGGTCCCTTAGTCTCTCCTCATAGGGCTTGGCCTGCAAACCCATAAACATATGAGTGAACCTCCTCTGGACCCTCTCAAATCTATCAACATCCTTCTTGAAGTAAGGTGCCCAAAACTGGACACAGTACTCCGACTGTGGTCTAACCAATGCCACACAGCAGGGAAGTATCACCTCCTTGGTTCTATTTGTCATGCATCTGCTGATGCATGATAAAGTGCGGTTAAGCTTTGCTGATGATTTCATGCACTGACTCATGTTCATCTTGGAGTCCACTATGACTCTGAGATGTCTTTCCGCTTCTGTGCGACTGAGAGGGTCATTTCCCAGCCAGTAAGTCTGCTGGATATTTTTATGCCTTAGGTGCAGCACTCTATATTTGTCCTTGTGGAACTTCATCCTATTGTGTTCTGCCCACTTTTCCAACCTGTCCAGGTCTGCCTGCAATTGTTCCCTACCCTCCAGTGTGTTCACTTTCAAATGGCATACCTGGAAGCAATAAACTACGAAGCACAAAATTCGAGAGGTCTTTTATGCATAGTAATATCATGTGTAGACACCCAGTGAAGCCACATCCACATGAGGCAAGCAGTCATGACCTGATGATCCACCACTACCACAGGCAAAATGATTAGCGATATCAGGGCAGCCCTGATAAGATATTATGCTTGTACAGTATGCAGTAAGTGGTACTGCTCACCATGCTTTTCAGAGCCTATGAAGCCTCACAAAGACATACAAAATATCTTACAAAGATGTACCACCACTTGTCAAATCACTTGAACACTGTTTCTCTACTCTCCCTTCATTCAGTGCTTTGGCTCCAAGATCTATAATCTGGCTTTAACTCAGTAGATGAGCACCGCACACTGAATGTACAGCACTGTACAACTGTTAAGTATTATTCTGATTAGTTTTAAATGTACATCATTTAATAATCTGTGATGTTGCTTCTGATCTATAAGTATCTAGAAAAATGAGACAATCCATATTGGACAAAGTATTAGTAATATTTGCAAACAAATGACTAAATGATCATCAAAAGCAAATAACAGCTGCTTCAGAATAATTTCATGTTTACAAATCTCTGCAGAGGTGAAGTTACAGCGAGCTTTACACACTGGCTAGGTGTATTAAGGGATATTGATATATTTGCCTGCCCCTGAGGCAGCACACTGGATTTGAATTGGTCTGATAGAGTACAGCAAATCCTCCATTCTTATCAATATGTATTGCTGTGCTTTTCTTTTCTCAACACTGTAAGAAACTAATTTAGAAAAGGAAATACAAAGCTTCAAGAATTAGTTAAAGTAACAGCCAGTGCCAAAATCTTTCTTCTTCCACACTGACATCAGTGGGACGGCACAGACGTCAAACTGAGGGTAAAATCTAAACCCAATTTTTTGCTGACTTCCTCAAAATAGAATTTGTACCATATAAACTAAATTGTAGGCCACTGGTTCTCAACCTTTTTGGATTTAAGGCAACCCTTGGAAAATGCCAGCTTGTTTCCACTTGTTTTTTCTACTAAAAATAATAGAGCAATTCTTCTGTTACAAAGAACTCAGAAAAAACACAACAGGTTAGAATGTTTTTGACACTGTGGATTCCTCTGTGAAATCTCTGGGCTTATCCGTGAATCCTGAGTAGCTGTTTATACGACTAAGAGTGCTAATATTATGCAGCACCCTGTAGCACCCTTAAAATATCTCACAGCACCCCAAGGTGTCCTGGCACCCTGGCTGAAAATCAGTGTTGTAAATAGACATGCATGCACAAACACGCACGCGCGCACACACAACTTTTCATGCCTGTGTAGCCAACTAAAGGAGTTCATGGTAAGGTACTATTATCCAGTCTGACCTGAAGTTGTTTCTGATTGGCAGACAGCTGGGGACAGAAATGTCATTTAAAAACGTCAAACTCTTTTCATTTTAATGGTTAAGCAGGAATAGATTTTTTTTAATTATTATAAAAAAAATAAATGTGCATCCTCAGGTCAAAGCTTATAGATAGCATATTTCCTGCTGGAGTGCTTTTGTATGATTTTATAAACCTCTGGGTAAACAGGGTTTATAATTCAAACTCTGACAGACCATTAACTGTAAGTGTTAAGGGGTGTCACTATAATAAACTGCTCTGAACAGCTGCAAAGACAGTAAGGGAAAAAAGCAAAATTATGACAGATCTACACCCTGAAGACAGATTGAAAAATTAGCTTTTCGTGAAAGTAACCCACTAACTGCAATGCTACTGACTGTACTGAGACCTAATTACCATCAATACACAAGAGCTCGCTTCAAACCTTCTTTTTTGCACAAATGAGAAATAAAGCATAATCTAGTCTTAATCAACTGGACAGATGATGAAGACATTAGGCTCCCATTACTGAATTTCTTTAAGTAGCTTGTTTTTGTGTTCTTTTTACTTTCTATCATTTGATACCGCCAAGATAGCAAGAGAAACATTGTCCTTTATATGCTGTGGACAGAAACAAAAGGAAAAAAGATGAATAAAACTACATCAAAAGCCATTTGATCTGACTAAAAACCATCCAGACACTTGACAACTCATCTTGATCACATTTAAAATATTTTGCTCTCCACATTTTTCATGTATACAAAAAAAAGGCTGACTTGAGCTAGAATTGTATCTTGAATGAAATACTAGGAAGCACAACAAGCCAGAGACATCTATGCAGAGAACAAACTTCTTGCACTTGCACGAAAAAAAGATCGTTGGCCAGATCTGTTCTCTTTATAGACTACTTTCATTGACTTCAGCAGAGCCATTCAAAATCTACAATAGGATAAATTAAAGCAGAATTTGACTCCATCATTTCAACTCAGAACAACCACACAACCTGCATCCTCATCTACACATTGGGGCAAAGCGAGTATGATACGATACCATTCTGGCTAGCAGCTTTTCACAACACTCTGCAGTGCCCAAAGCACAGACACAATGATTTGGGCCCTAAGTATTATATTAACCTACCTCACTTCCATTAGATTTAATTGCTTCGATCTCAAGAAAGTTGTTACCTGAGCCAATTCTATCAGGAAGCAGTGGTGTGAAGAAGCAGCTCTAAGCACATGGAAAAAACATTGAGGAAATGCTGGCTTTTTTATACATAATATTTCTGTGAACTGGGAATGAAACCAGAGAAGCTGGAAGGGAAATTTGCAGCTGTGAAGGGAAGGGTTTTTATTATTATTTTATTTTAAACATATGTATTAACTATAGCTCAAAACAAGGAGTGGAGTGGAATCCGCAGCCAGAGGGAGAATCCTGTCAGTAAAATGCATGGCCCTTGCTGCTGCAACAGAATATCCAGCCGTGTTCAAGAGCCTCCAGAAATACTATCCTAACAAGTATATTTGGTGCAACTTTTATAAAGACCTTTGGCTTCCAAGACCAGACTGCTTTCTACTCCTTTAGAAGACAGCAACTTCTTGCAAGGCAAGTTAATCCAAAACCCAGCAAAACCTCTTTGGAAACAGGATTGGAGTACCAGCCAGTGTAAAATAAAGTTAAAATGCAGTTAAAAAGATAAGAAAAAACAGGTGTTGACAACTGATTGGAATATTGGGGGTGATGGTAAGAAAACAGCTATGCAAAGAGCAAGCGATCTATGTGTTTTAAAATGTGCGTGGGGCTTCCGAAGCTGTTACTTGTTGTGCCTTAAGGTATGGCTCCTCCTTATCTGAGGAACGACAGTTCTCACCTTATCTGAGAAATGACAGCTCTCCTAGGAGTCATAGGGCTGGAAGGGACCTCCAGAGGGCATCTAGTCCAACCACCTTCCTGAGGCAGGATCATTTTTACCCAAGCCATCCCATGCAACCATCATCTAAACTCTACATAAGCCTAACCTTGACCCCGCCACGACACAGACCTAACCCCCTAACCTGCCACAGGTAAAGCAGGAACCAGAGCAGCCAACACCCTGCTGACAGATCCAGCACAGGCTCCCCATGCTGGCCATCACATAAACCGTTACTAAAACACAATGAAGTGGGGGGGGGGGGTGTCCACACAGGAAATGTTTTGAAAGGAAAAGCACTGATCTGCTGCAGTGGTGATGCATAGGGGGTGCACGTGCACCCTGACAGGCCACACTCCCTGCTTAGGCGATGGACGGCGGGGCAGGTGGGAACACCGGCCGGGGAGTGGGAGCACAGCCACTTCCAGGAGCATCGCAGCCACTTCCTGGTCAGCGAGATTGACCACAGGAGACACCCCCCCCCGTTGATGACTGGTCGTGGGGGGGCACATGCCCCCCCAACAAAGGTGGCACCAGTCGCCCATGATCTGCTGAATGCTCAAATTAATTTCAGAAACCATCTCAGGGGTTGCAGCCGTGTTGGTCTAAGGCAGGGGCAAACAATTATTTTGGGTGGAGGGCCACTTACTGAGTTTTGGCAAGCCATCGAGGGCTGCATGACAGGCAGCCAGGGGCAGATAAATATTAATTTTCTAAATTTTTAGGGGTCCTGCAGGCCGCAGTTTGCCTACCCTGGGTCTAAGGGCATAGGCAGGCAAGGTTCTTTGGGTAAATCCGATATCTCTTATTAGACCAACTCAGTTGGGGGAAAAAATCTTCTTTGCAAGCTTTCAGGTACAAACACCCTTGGCTAGGAGGAAGCTGAGACACCATCTCACACCCTCCTACACCATCCCCTGCCTTAAGGACAATATTCAGCCCGGAGAGGAAAGCGCTGCTAATCTAGCACACCAGGTAGGAGGTGAGTGAGAGGGCTGCTGTATCCCCCACAGCCCATTAAGTGAAAGGCATGGCTATTTTGGAAGGCAGGGTGCTTTTTTGCCCTGAAGCTCTGTCCTTCTCAAGGCTGGATCCCAGCCCTGGTAACCCTCAAGTTCAGGCTCCCCGGCTTGCTGGGGGTGGGCATCTGATTCCAGAGCAGCCTTTCCCCAGCCCCGTCCCCACCCCAATCAAGCGATGGAGCTGCGGGTCTCCCCCAACTCTCTCCCTGCTTCATCCCGGCTGGCAGCC